AGAACAGGTGATTGACACTATCTCGCGGTTTAAATTTGAATGACAGTCGAGATCGAATGTGAATAGGTAAGTTTCTATCTATCTTTGTCTCCATTTATGGTTTTGGTTCATCTTTTCTTTCGTCTATATCCTTTTCTTCTCCTTTTCTCTGGTTAAAACTTGACCATTTCTCTGATGGTTCGAATTGTTTGTCCTTGGCTTGTTGAATTTCCATTAATGTTAGGTTTCTGATTTTCTCTTGTTAGGTTAGCCTACTTAGTTTAATTTAATTAGGTTATTTTAATAGCTCAATTAGTTCCCTACTGTTTGTGATATTTAGTTAGCTTAGTATTTAATTTTCTGAATTTACTTAAGTTTTTCTTTTCACATGCACCGGACTCCTGACTTGGGTTTGGGTCACCTTGGTTGCTTGGGCTTTGAGATTAGCTTAGACCCCACTCCATGAGGTTTGGGTTTGGTTCGAATTTGAGCCCAAGTTTATTTGAACCATTAGAGTCCATTGGACTCACAACCCATACCCATTTGGGTTCCTGAAGTAATAATTGTTGGGTTTTAAGGGGTAAATACAGGATTAATCAGGGACAATATAGGTAGTCTAAGTGAGGAAATCTTCAGGGTAACTAACTTGGAAGCTTCTAGCAAGGATTTTCAGCCAATTTCAGGCTTTTAGGTAGATAACTTGGAAAACAAGTCAGAATCCTAGGGACTTTTAAGCAAAAAGCAGAAATTAAAAAGGACCTAAAGGGGTAAAAATAAATCAGCAGGGCTGCCCTAATTGCTTGCCTATAAAGGCATACCATTCTTGCCTTTCATGTCAGATTTTAGAGCCTAAAAGATTTGAGAGCAAAAAGATTTTAGAGCAAAAGGATTTGGAGAGAGCCGAGAGAACTTCAAGAGCTAAATATCCTGCAGATTTTAGTAGATCCAATATAGATTTTAGGGACCTTAGAGATCAGAACCTAGAGATTTAGAAGAGCCAAAATCCTGAAAAATCAAATAATAGCTGAGAAATCATGCAGTAAACATTGTTCCATTTAAACTGATTGATCTTTGAAGTTTTTAAGTTCTGGAATCATTTCTGGATATCCAAAGGGTTAAAAATGAGTTGAAGTTCGTTTGTTATTCAAGTTTTGGGTCAAGCTGTTGATGAAATCACTATTCTATTGGATTTACACTGATTCTATGGGCTCAATTTCCTGGATCTGGGGTCTGTGTTACTGCTGGTGCTGATTGTTGGTGTTTATTCTGCTGGCCTCTCATTTTCTTCTTTGTTTCATTCTCCGAGTACATATTTCTGACCATGGGAATGTAAGAATAGCTTGTTGAAGTGTTTTTGATGGAAATATATGAAGATCTAACTCTTTGTTGTTAGATATTAGAATTTCCTCTTGTGTAGTTTAATTCTTGCAATGTCATGTTAATTCCTTAAACTTAGCATGTTGATGTGAAGTTATAATTGTTCTGAGTCTTGTATTAGAATTGTAATAGTATTGTTAGTAAATTCATTGATTTCCATGTATTCAATCCTGTGGATATCTTCTTTGTTGAAGAGCTGATTGTTTTCCTCTTGAATCCTTATATATTTATGGATCTAAATTGTGGTAGTATACTGCTGTTACCCAGTTATTTCAATTAAAGTTAAAGCATGTATGTGCAAGTGGGATTTGGGGCAGTCTATCGTTTTAAATGCATCATTACATGTTCAGCATTGAGCTTAGATTAGAGTATGGATCCATTATTTTGGGCTTGGGAATTTATTAAAGTTTTTGAGTTTAGGTAAAATTGGTTTTGTATATCACATGATTCACATTAACTTATTTGAGTCTTGGTTAAATAATTGCAGTAGCATTCATTTCTTATATGAGTTCTTGAATGTATTTGAAGATTATGAATTAAAGTTATTTTCAAAACAAAAATCAAAAATGGAAGTGCAGTGATTTGTTAATATGCTGGTAATGGGCCGCTCTTTGAGCCCTGGACCACAGGTCTGCTTGAAACGAATGGTAAGCTTTGGTCATTTGGGCCAGTACGCTTAGCTTTAAGAAATTACCAATTGGGTGACCAAGTCAAGCTGCTGGGCCTATTCCAGGCCCAACACATCGAAAGCCTTGGTCATGATTTCTGTTTTCTTTTGAGTTAATAATTTAAAGGAAGCGCCGGGCCTTCCAAGTTGAGTCGTGGATTCGAACTAAGAACCTCTTCATTGACTGAAGTTGTCCTTGTTTGAAGTCTGGGCTCGATCTTGGGGCTCAAATATTCTTAAATATTTTAATGTTAGTTAATCTCTTTTAATGTTGATTTTTTTTTAAGTCTTTTAATTAGAATAGGAGTTGAACCATAATAGACAATAATAGTTCATGACTCTACGAGCTTTAGTTAGGACATCCTTTAAAATGGAATCGAGGTGTGCCGCGCCAAATAAAATCACAAATTGTGTGGCCCTCGTATAATTATTTCTTTAAAATACTTAGAATTCGAGGCATGCCATTTAGCGAATTTTCATGGCCCTCGCAAAATTAACAACGCGTTAGTTGCTTTAGGCGCGTTCTTTAATAATATTATATTCCTAAACTCGGGTGTGAATTTCATGTGACCCAAATCCAAATCCTAAAACGTTGAATAAAATGTGTTCCGGATAGCGGGTGCATTTCATGTGACGCGATCCAAAGACACGTTTTAGACGACGTTCAATTTTCCTTAAAATTAATTAAAAGCGATAATTAATTTAAAATTGCACTATAGGTTAAAACATGTATTAAAATCAGATAATAGGCCAATTGTGATAGTTTAAGTGACCGTGCTAGAACCACGGAATCCGGGGGTGCCTAACACCTTCCCCGGGTTAACAGAATTACTTATTCAGAATTTCTGGTTCGCAGACTTCAAATGGAAAGTCGAAATCTTCCTCGATTTGGGATTTAAAATAAACCGGTGACTTGGGACACCAGAAACAAACCTATCCCTAGTGGAGACTCTGAACAAAATTCATTAAATAATCTCATTTCGAATAATGTCCCTTAAATTGGAAAAATTCCATTATACACTATCCTTCGGGGTGGGTGTGTAAAAGGAGGTGCAACAGACTAGGATTCACACCAGTATAAAAATTCCGGTGTCTTTAATTCCTGCACTTACTTTCTACATCTTACCTTCTGTCTTTATAACTGTTAATTTATTACATCTAGTCGACTATTTGATAAACTAGTCAACTAATAAGAGAATAAGTTTAAAAATATATAATTTACCCCCTCTTGTACTTTCAAGAAGGAGGAGGAGAAAGGAGGCTGGAGTTGTTTAAAAAGTGTGTACAAGTTAAAACTTTTAAAAAAAAAATGGGTATAGGTTAAATGGGGGCGACCAAATAGGGCGCCCCGTGCAATTTTTACAATGTGTTAGTACTTGAACAAAGTATAATTTGACTTGAATCAAACTTGAGTTATTTTTTCCATTTGATTTTCGAGCTTTCTCGGTTGATTAGCAAGATTTTATAAAAAAATTTATCAGACCATGATTCTTGTTATTGTTCGAGGTGAGAAAGATCCGAATTTTCCATAAGAGTACTTTTCCGAAGCGATAACTGCGAAACAAACAGGACTAGGACGAAAAAACTACAGTTATCCTGCTTCCTAGGAGGCTAGACCAAGCAGCAGAGTGTCAAATTTGGCAGATGCCTGCTAAAATATCCATTAATGGCACTCTTGTTTATAAATGCTGAAGCTGATGCACTTGTTTAGCAGTTGTGGCAGTTGAGGATACTCTTTTCACCATTAATGCTTTTTATATCGTTTACTACTTCCAAATTGAGCATACATTAGTGCAAGCAGACTAAAAAAACCTATGCTCCAACACACAAGTAGGCCACATTGTGGTTTCAAGATATCCTTTTACACTACTCCTCCCCTCCACTTTATTTGACTTTTTGGTCTTTCTTTTGTGATGCATAATATTTGATTTTTTCAGATATCAAAAAGGAATTAATATCTTTTTTCCAAAGTTGCGCTTCAAGTAGGAGTATTTGTTATATTTCCAATGAACAAATTAAGGTTAATATGGTCAATTGCAAAGTTTCCCTTGAAATAAGAAGTCTAGGAGTATTTCTTATATTTTCAACGAACAAATTAAGGTTAATATGGTCAATTTCATTATTAACTAATGCTAAGAAGTAAATTCCTTAATATGTGTAAAAACAAATTAAAATTGTAATTAAAGTGGACGGGAATGAGTACTCTTTTACACTATATTTTGGGATATTTAAAGTTGGCACTTACTTTGTGTGAACATAGTTATATTTTGAAAATTCTTCTAACTCTCTTTAAATATTTATTATTCGAGTTGAAAATACAATAAATGTGTTAGCAGCCTCTGCCATCATGTTACATCACACCCAGAGTACATGTACAAGTGTTTACACCAAACTAACGAATATAAGCCAAGTGATTTTGATCTATATATTTATTACTTAACTATGGTTAAGCAATATATATTTTTACTTGAATTTTTAATTATTAAGATTAATATGCTTAATTTGATGTATACATCGGGAGCGAAAAAAATATTGAGTACTCAATTCATCCGATTTGTATGAGGAAGTTTTCATTTTTTTGAATGTCTCTATTTGCAATAAATTTGGTCAAAAAAAGAAAGTTGCAATGACAAACAACTATAAAGAAAAAGGGATTTTATTAATAAATATTTTAGCTTACAATTCTGTTTATCCCTTGATTCTACCCTCCGATTTATTCTACGTGATTCAAGGGCCTTAGCGGCGTATTTCTCCAACGTAGGACTTTAAGCAAGACATATTTGACTTGTCATTGATCTCTTAATGAATATTCCAAGAGTTTCATGAAATTTCGAAGATCTCATATTTGATTTTTTTGTGCATATTCCGGAGTTTATGGTATCGATGGGATCCTCTTTGAAGGACATATTTAGCCTTATTTATAGGCATGAATAAGTTAAGTAGTATTAAACTTTATATTCAATCAAATATCATCATTTTAAGAGACAAAACATTGGAGGGTAGAAAAGCTTGTATTTGTACTTGCATGACACACTGGAAAGGAGCATTGAGCATGTAAAATATCTATATTTATGGTTCTTGAAACAGCTGTTGGAAATATGAAAATGGAAACATAGTTTTCACAGTATATAATATAAGAGCTTTGCATCAAAAAAAGGATGTTACAAGACTTCATGGGAACTCAGTTCAAGGCTGCTCTTTTTCTCTTGTTCTTTTACTCAGTGTTAGCTAAGCAAAACCAACTGAGTTCCAACTTGGAATATCAAGATTTGCTGAACCTCAGGTCATCTTTGGGCATCAGAGCTAGAGATTGGCCAAGAAAATCAGACCCCTGCTCCAATTGGACTGGAATTGGTTGCACCAATGGCAAAGTTACAAGTATAAAGTTAACTGGAGTAAGAAGAAGTCACAAAGGAAGCTTGTTTCCACAGTTTGCTGTTGATTCTTTGGCCAATTTTACTCAGTTGACATCCTTTAACTCATCAGGTTTTATTCTTCTAGGGCCAAATCCAGATTGGTTTGGTCAAAGATTAACTCAGCTCAAAGAACTTGATCTTAGTTCAAGCTCAATTCTTGGTTCACTTCCACCATCATTTGGAAGTTTAAGTAAACTTACTTCTCTATCTTTGTCTAGTAATTCAATTACAGGTACTATTCCTACAGAATTTGGGAAGTTGAGTTCTTTAAATGTTCTTAATCTTTCTGGCAATTCACTCACAGGTTCAATTCCAACTTCTTTTTCAAATATTGAGAATCTCACTGTTCTTGATTTGTCTTCAAATTTGTTGTCTGGTCCAATCCCTATTGAATTTGGTTCACTTCATGGCCTTAAGTTCCTCAGCTTGTCCAATAATAGTCTGAGTTCTTATATTCCTGCTCAGCTAGCAAATCTTTCTCAATTAGTAGAACTTGATCTTGGCTATAATTACTTGTCAGGGTCATTGCCAGAAGATTTCTCAAGATTGAGGAATTTAAGAAAATTGTTAATTGGAAACAATGAACTAGAAGGTGAATTGCCTGGTACCTTGTTTTCAAATCTTTCTCTAATGGAGTATATAGTTCTCAGTTGGAATCGATTCGAAGGCGAAATTCCTGATGTTTTGTGGTCATTTTCCCACTTAAGGATTCTTGATATTTCAGGGAACAACTTCACTGGTGTAGTTTCAAATCTTACCTATTTTAGTGCCAGTGGTGCTTCATATAACCTTTCAAATAATCTCTTCTTCGGAAATGTGGCGTTTGATATTCGGAATTTTCAATCAATTGATCTGTCCAACAACTATTTTCAAGGTCTAGCACCCAATAATTCTGGCGTTCAAGTTATGAGTAATTGCTTTACAGGGTCTTTGAATCAGAGGAGTTCAGAAGATTGTCGTAAATTTTATGCTGATAGGGGTCTAGTTTTTGTCAATGGCGGCACCAATAGCACAAGCCAAACTCCAGCACAAAGACCTTCAAAGAGCGGGCATACGCGCCTTCTTATAATGGTTGGAGTTTTTGGTGGGCTTGGGGTTCTTATGCTTTTGGCATTAGCCATTCTATTGTTTTTTAAGATATGCTACAGAGGAAATTCAAGTGAAAGAGGCACTTCAAACGTTAGTCCTGTCGTGGAAGGAGACAATCGGGCTGTGAAGTTCTCTGGTGATATATCTGGCGGTTCAGTAGAATCATTTACTTATGAGCAGATACTCCATGCCACAAGCAACCTCAATGAAGCAAACGTTATCAAGCACGGTCACACTGGAGACATTTTCCGGGGAATATTGGAAGGCGGTGTCCCCATAGTTATCAAGAAAGTTAGTTTACTTCTGTCTGGAAAAGAGTCATACAAGTTGGAGTTGGATTTGTTAAACTGGATAACACACCATAGGTTTGTCCCTTTATTGGGACACAGCATAGAGCATGAGAGTGAGAAATTCTTGGTCTACAAATATATGTGCAATGGAGATTTGTTTAGTTTGTTGTCCAGGGATACAGATTTAGGAGACGAAAATCGACAGTCTTTGGATTGGATAACGAGATTAAAAATTGCAATAGGAACTGCAGAAGGTTTAGCTTATTTACACCATGAGTGTAATCCTCCCCTTGTTCATAGGTATTTGTTTCTTTCACTTTTTCACATTCTTGTTTTTCTCCTCAAATGATGATACACTATATTTTTGTCTGTAACAGAACCATTATTAAGTTCAAGTTATTGTAAAGTTCTACACCAAGCTAATTATATTCTGTATTTTCTGGTTGAAGAGATGTTCAAGCTAGCAGTATCCTTCTCGACGATAAATTTGAAGTAAGGCTGGGAAGTTTGACCGAAGTGCGTACACAGGAAGGTGATAATCACAATTTGATCACAAAGTTCTTCCACATGCCAAAGTAAGTTATTTCTAAATATATATTAAGGTTGTGTCATCTTTCCTGCTATTTCTACTTTTAGCATTTCCTTTTAGAAACTACGAATGCTTTTATGTAATTTGTACATGTTTCATGACTAGTTACCCATATTGCTTTTTGTTCAATGTTCTAAGACATTTCTTCTTGACAATATACAGGAATGCTGAGGGAGACCCTGCTGGTATGTAGCTAGTATTCTTTTCGTAAAAACACATAGTTGGACTTTAGAGTTATCGTTCCAATTTTTCATGCTGGCCTTATACATGAACAGGATCTTCATTTACAAGTTGCACTTATGATATATACTGTTTCGGGAAGGTCTTACTCGAGCTTGTAACTGGTAAGGTTGGCATAAGCCAGTCAGATGATGCCTCAACCAAGGAGTGGTTGGACAAATTTCTTCCTTTCATCACTATACGGGAGAAAGAATTAGTGGCCAACATCGTCGATCCATCTCTAATTCTAGATGAGGACTTACTGGAAGAGATGTGGGCTGTAGCAATAGTAGCTAAAGCATGTCTTCATCCGAGGCCTTCCAAACGTCCTGAGATAAGACGCCTCCTAAAAGCACTAGAGAACCCTTTCAAGGTTGTTAGGGAAGGAAGTTTCAACTCTACAAGGCTACGAACAACTTCATTGAGGCGATCGTGGAGTGTTGCTTTTCTTGGTAGTTGGCACTATAGCTCACAAGATAGTATAAATGCCAGTGGCCAAACAAGCAAAGAGGGTATGAACTACCTAAAACAGTCAGGACGAGTAGGATCTCATTCTCATAGCAGCGGGAATGAACATTCATCCTCGTGTAAGAGATCATCCAGTGAGATTTTCCCCGAACCTCAGGAGACGCTAGATATAGAAGGACAGGACATGAACTAGCCATCCTGTGAGTCCAAAGGTATCTCATAATTTGCAGTTAACCTATGCCAAATGCATTTCTGCAGGCAAGCGTTTTGTAAGTATCAGGGCTTTTGATTTTTTATTACATGAGCGGCCTATGATCGTTGCGGATACATGGGCCCACGTGCTACACGCAAGAATGAATTGTCATACGGTTGGTAAACTCTTTCCTTCTCTGTGCAGCCTATCAAATTGGATCAGTATTTTTGAATATGTCGTTACACCATGTACATGTATTCTGTTTTTCTTCTTTTCTTTTCTTTTTTTGATGTGCGACAAATGCTCTAGTCTTTGTAAACTTTCAAAAGTTTATCCTGTCAGATGTGTTGATGACAAAAAAGTTGATATTAAAGGATGTTCAGTCCTTTGTATTCCCCTCTTTATTCGGTAAACTATGTTCCTTGGTTGTGTGCAAAAATACAGATGTGATGGAAAACAAGCATACAATTGTGTCAAGGGTCTCCACTATATGATGTTCTACACGTCAATACCACATAAGAGGGGGTGATTTGTGTGGTACCTAATTTTGGCACTAGAAGAACCTGGTTCTTCTAAATGTACTTACTATGACTGTTTGCGGAATTAAGAGTACATAAAATAAAGAACACAGAGATTTTTACGTGGAAAATACCCGGCTCAAAAGGTGAAAAAAAACCACGACCTACTACTCAGTAGGATTTTCCCAAACTTCCACTAAAATCACTGAGCCAAAACAGCATTTACAAAACTCTTGTAAACCTAAGGATTAAACCCTAATCCCAGTGTGGCATACAGTCTCAACTGTCACGACACTTTCAAGTTAACTCACTCAAAAGTACCTAATACAATTGCTTCTGTGAAAGCTGAAAGGTACAATATGAAACACCTACTACAATTGAACTAGAATAAAAGAAAGACACAATGGAATTGGTTCTTCTATCTTGTCCAAGTAGCTTCAGGAATGCACACTTGAATCTCACGTAAATTGCTTGCAAAAAGCCTTGCTATTTTGCTCTTCAATTTAGTTTCACTTCTGCGTTTGTGCAATCCCTGTAAAAGAGAACAATCATTATTATTTATAGAGTTAGTAATCAGAGTTTGATTAAAACTCGAATTACTGATCCTTAATCAAATTCGAGTCCTAGAACAATTCAAACTCCAATCCTTATTCTTGATTCGGATGTAGTTCTCTTCACATAAGGAGACTTCAACTCCTTATCCTATGCAACCTTTTCGATCAACTCAGAAGATATTGTTGCTGACCCTTGAGACTTATCTTCACACATATGTCACATGTATAAGTATATCAACACTGTGTATGTCTCACATGATGGACCTGGTTCATGACTGAGTTCATTTTGTCAATCTTCAAAACTTCATCTGAACTTGGGCCAACACTATATAATCCAGATTTACAGTTTCAAGATCTCATATTTTGTGATTGCATGGAAAAAAAAAGTGATACAATTGATCTATAAATTCCTTGGTGGCCTAAATAAGTCCAAGAAACTCAATACAACATGTATCAGTGATTCGGTATCAATCCCTATATACATATGTGGGGGAAAAGCACATGATAGATTTTCGACAAAAAACTCACAACATCTAAATTCTAAATCCGCCACTATTTAGAGAAAGAGGAGAGGATCATGTAACATATATTCTTCACCAGGCCTATTGTGTTTATCAGGCGAAGACATGCTCAAGTTTGTCACTTGACTGGTAGAATTCAGATGTGAGCATATAACTCCATCAAAATGACAAAAGCAAATAAAAAAGGTCATATTTTCATTTTTGAAAAAATTGCTGAACCAAAAAGCATAACACGAGATTATTGGAAATATCATAATCACATTAAAGGAACACGTGATTGCTCCGTAATGAAAAGTTCTCCACAATTTTGTGAACTGCAATTTACGAAAGTGAACAACAAAAATTAGTAGCGATGAAAAAAAAACAAGAGCTGTCAAGTTCCAAGTGGAAAACAACATTTACATTAATAGCAGTGTCTGTATACAAAAGGGGATGTAGCTCAAATGGTAGAGCGCTCGCTTTGCATGCGAGAGGCACGGGGTTCGATCCCCCGCATCTCCAATAGTTTTAAATTTTGACAGCTTTCTCAACCAGAGACTCAGCAGCTGAATAATTTAGTCCAAAATTGTGTAGAATCTAATTGTGCGCAAGCTGATTGATCTCGTAAGTTTTTTTTTTTGGTAAAACTAATTCTGAACATTCTCATTTTTATCCATGTAACACGTGTGAAAGATTTTATTTTCTTTAGTTGCAGAATATAATTAAGAGGGAATTCTGTTCATGGTTGCATGTCTTTTGGCTCTCTAAGGGCGTGGCATAAGAAACTGATATGTTCAAATACTCCTATAATAGACTTGTCAAAACAGAAGTCAATTTGATATTTATTTCATGGCTATGCTTCTTTTGTAGCAGACAAAAGGTGATACTAACGAATTCATAAACTTCTTTTTTTTCTTCTCAAGTCTGCTGCACAAATTGTCTCATTTCAGTTTGGACCATCTGCTTATCATTGTAGATCACAATTGTCATCTCTATCATAATAAGCTGTAGCTAATAAAAAATAAAATGACCGTGTCACATACAACTTTCAATGTAATAATAAACAATACTATGTTGTATCAAAAGTAAAATCTGTAGTAAATTGCCTATTTGAATGCAGAATGATAAGGATTATGCAGAGTTCTCATACTACTACAACTTTACAGTGTGAAGGGATTAGCATATGACTGTAAGTGTTGGTTGATTCGTCTGAATAAATACACCAGTATAAAGTAACTGAGAAAAATACTCTATTCTCTTTTATAAACTTTCATAAGAGTTGGAGGTTACAAGGGAGAGATTGGGTAATAAATATGACAAGTTTATGACTTGTTTAAGTCAGATTTGAAGAAGAAAACATAGAATTGAATGACACAGTCACTAATTCAAATTGTATCTCTAGTGCCATAAGGCAATAATATGGCCTACATAGATCTAATCTCTAACTGGAAATTAGGCTTATCATTAAACCTTCATGATTCAAGGAATAATTTGAATAGGTGGTGCTCCAGAAGCCTGAAGCAAATACAACCGACAACACGGTGTACCATCATCAGGGTGAGTTTGTAGTGACCGTGGCAAGCTGCGCAACTTATTGAACAAATTTAGTGGATCATGCAACAGCCCGAAGTGGGCATCCGGATCACCAATTTGAGAAAGTTTAACTTGAGAAAATCCTAGTGATGGCAATAACAGATCAGGCCAATCACAATAGAAATGGAAAATGGAGCTGCACATTTTGGTTGCTTGCTTGTTCATGAAATCTGCTAAAAGTACTGTATGAGCAGAGGCACAGTTATTAGCGATAACGTTGAGTACTTCCATTGCATGAGAGTGTGATAGATAGTAGAGAATTCCCTCTAATACCCACACTGTATTTTTCTTTAACTCTAATCCTGATGCTTGAAGCTTTTTAAGCCAATCTTTTTCTCTTAAATCAGTTCCCACTCTCTTCAATGATTTTGCTGTCAGCATTGGCCGTTTTTGTTCATTGATTGCTTCTTTTAGAACACTAGTTTTCATCTGTAAGACCTCTGGAAAATCAATCTCAAAAATGTCACTTTCTTTCAAGCAACTCAAGCGGTATGCCCTTGTATCCATACCTGCAGATAATCAGATTGATATCACCATTAGTCTGTTCTGTACTAACAACAACATACCCAGTATTATCCCATACTGTGGGGTCTGTAGAGGATAGTGTGTACGCAGACCTTACCCCTATCTTGTGAAGGTAGAGAGGTTGTTTCGACCCTCGACAGTGTTCTGTACTGTCCCCACAAAATGGATTAATCAAACTTGCAAGGGAAGTGAGGAACAGAGAATAGAAAATTGGCAGATCAATACGCTAAGTTTTCGCTATGCACCAAGTTTAAGGAAGGGCCGCATCACATTGTATCTATTGTACACATGCAGCCTTGCATTTTTTGCAAAAGGCTATTTCCACGGGAAGACCTCCTGGTCACAGCAATAACAACTCTTATCATTGTGCCAAGGCTCTCCCTCAGTGAGGAACTGAGAATGCTTGGAGTAAAATCCACACTTATATTGGAATACTCCATCTATTCATAGTTCAAATTCCCTAGTTATTGCGATAACTCAAAGCAAATAAATTTTGCATCACCTATATCAAATCCAGTTGAATGTTTCAATTTAAATAGTCATGACTGCTTTATAGATTGTAGAGATTGCTTATTACCCAAAATTTCTCACTCTCTTTTCTACATTATTGCATGTTTTTCTAAATAAAAATAAGTATCAAGTATAATTTGCTCCGTATGTTGAGTTCGCTAAAGTTCTGTGAAATGAAGTGCCGCTATCACATACTCCTTCTGTTTCATATTAAATGAGGTACTTTCCTTTTTAGTCTGTTCCAAAATAAATGACACATTTCTAAATTTGAAAATAATTCAACTTTAAACTCCTCATTTTACCCATTTTACCCTTAATGAGAAGCTTTTATAACCACACAAAAGTCATGGCCCCACAAAGCTTTACCCCTTAAGCTTTTAAGACCATAAATTTCAAAAGTCTTTCTTTTTTTCCTTAAACTCCGTGCCGAGTCAAACTACCTCATTTAATTTGAAACGGAGGTAGTAATAGTTATTCCGTTCTATACTAGGAGAAATCAATCCATATACTTTGGGCAACAGTGAGGGGATTAAATTCCTTAAGGACACGCAAGAAACTTGTGGGCTCGGAATTATTTTTACATTTTCTGTTCTAAGTTATATTTTCTGATTTTCTATTTTCGAACAGAGATTACTAACAATCTTAAAGAATTTATCTTTATTTTCTGTGTTTATCTCTTTTGTGTTGAGACGGCTGATAAGAGGAAAGATGAAGTAAACAGTACGATTACTGGTGTGATATGGACTATGGAGAGAAATGACTAAATCGAAACTGATCCGAAAAGTCGTTTTCAATCTCTAGCACTTAAACTTACGATGGCTGGCACACGAAGAGAAGAAGAAGTAATCTTTCAGTCCACGGGTGTCTTAGATATTTGGACTATGGTACTCGTCAAGAATGTTAAACATCACAATTGAAAGATTGGAGAGTTTTCAATCCAACTTCCTTTGTTAAACATCACAAAGGAAGGAAACCCAACTTGAATTATTTTAAAGTGTGGGGGTATTTGGCAAAAGTGCAAGTTCCTAAACCCAAAAAGATAAAGATAGGATCAAAAATCGTTTATTGCATTTTCATAGGATATGCAACCAATAGTAAAGCATATCAATTTCTGGTTCATCAATAAAAAAATTTCGACATTCATAATAATATTGTTATAGAGTCAGATAATACTAAATTCCTCAAAATATATATCCGTATAAAAGGGAATATGAGTCGATTGGTGAAGGATCCAAATGACCTCGGGAAGGAACAAAAGAA